AAACACAAGTCTAAAAATCCTAGTCCTTAGCAAGCTTTCCCTTGGAGAGCTTTGCCAATCAAGACAGGTAAAGGAGGTGTATTTATGATGTCTCAATGACATCTTTGCTGGGAACCCAATGGGGAGGTGCCAACTTCATTAGCATGAAAATTAGCAGTGACATTAATGCTGACTAAAGCAAAAGTCCCTCCTGGCTCTATAGGCGATACAGGACAGCACATCATTATTTGTGGCCATTTCTTGTGCTAGTGGGCTGAATTACTTACACATGAAAGGACTCTAGGATCAGGTCCAGACTTTTCATCCAGAACAGCAAGGAAGATCAGATGTTCATCCACAGAGACAAAAATGCACACAGCTCAGGACACAAATAGAAACACCAGTGAGGATTTTTTTCTGGTCCAGCCTATGGAGCTCAGCTGGATGCTGCAGAACCATTCAGAAGCAAACAGGGAGGAGGAATCATTCATTGCTTCCCAAAGACCTACCTTCATCCTAAGCATCCTTAGCCCTGGGGCTCTCTCCTCCCCGCAGAGGAAGGGTACGGGAATCCACATACTAACAGACCCTCTTTCCCCACATGCTTGTCTGCACAACGGGTGGACACGTGTACACTTGTTCTTCCCCGACCCCCTACTTGCCCCAATATCCTAAGTCACCTCCTCCCATGTGAATGGTGCAGTATGGGAGGAACGTCCATACCTGAAGAGACAAGGGCAGGATTTTCCCTAATAGCAGATCCCACATAGGGGCAGACTTGGCTCTTTTACTTGAGGAAAAGCCCCACCACCTTTGGGTGAGGAACAGGAAACTGTGAGACCACTTAGCCAGCTCAACAGTATTTGGTATATTCAATAATTCTTCCGACTTTCAGCTCCACCTATTAAGCCAAGCAAAGGACTGATAGCAGAAGAGGAGACCGAAACCAAGTTAGAAACAGGTAGCTTCAAAAACACTCCAAATACACCTGAAAATTATACTTCCTCAAAAAAAAAATCTATTACAAAAGTTTCCTTCCAAGTGTGTTTTATTACGATAATCCCATGGTTCCTTCATTCTTTTTTTGATTAAGGTCAATGAAGGTCATTACTTGAACTGAGCGCTGTGTCAGAAAGTTGCCAAATCCCAGTCCGTTATTTCTGTTCCTACATGCGAATTGCCAGAGGGCAGCTACAAATTGAAAAAGCAGCTACTGAAATCCTCGTACAGCTGCAAAAATGATGAATCCTCAAATGAGATCACATTCGAAAAAGGTGCCTCCTTTCCCTTCCTAGACCTTTTACATGGAGGAAGAACAAAACTGCTATTTTTAAAACAAAAATCAACCATCTAGAAATTGATTTAGAAGATCAGCAACCGTTTAATGTCAGAGAAGTAACTGATACACTTGTAAAAATACAGTACTCCTGAAACACATGCACAAACTTTTCATGGATGTGTATATGTATTTATTTAAAAAAATCAAACTTCAGTTACCCCGCCAGTACAGAATGGCATTTTACAGCCTCTGATCCTGTGTGACAACCAAAAACGGCGTTTCCCCTCAAAGCTGCCTTTCATTTCTGCTAGTTTTTCAACATCCTCACATTCTCCTCCGTGTGGTGCATGGCTTCATTCAGCAGTTTACAAAATAATTCACAACTAAGTCGTTCTTCAGCACTGGTGGGTTGCACTGATGAAAGGCCTTGTTCCCAATAGCTTGGGGAGGTTAGTTTTTTACTCCAAGAACAAAGATCCAAATCCAGAAAAGCGCACCTCAGAAATCAATAGGATAACTTCTGCTGAATATGTATTTTTAAATATAGATCAGATGCTACAGAGACATGTAACTGGTACGGTATCAAAAAGTACTCCATACGTTAAAAAAATAAGTTATTTTTTTAAAACTTAAAATAGCTTCCGGTCTATGAAAACAACATACAAAGTTTTAACAGACATTTAAAAGCTTTTATAGCGAGCAAATCTGGGAGATTTTTTTTTTTTCTTTGCATAGATTAAAAATTAGCCTGCACATTCAAACATGGTACTTCAGCATTGGAACGGTCGCACGGACGCCAAAGTGCCGGCAAGTGCCGACTTGATCCCAACAAAGCGCTGGCCCCTTTTGGGGGACTGAAAGTTGTTCAAACATGGGACACTGAAAATGAGGAGAGAAAAAAATCCTTGCTCCACCTGGTCTGAATGCCAGCTGAATATCGAGTCTGCTTATTTTCCTTTCAAGTACCAAGCAATATTTAAGAAGAAGTTTGCTATGTGCCACGATGAAGGGCTGTCTCTCCCCACCAGGAATTGCAACCTGGCGCGCACACCAAGGAGTTTCAAGGGTCATTTCGAAGCACTGTGAAATGCATCGATGCCTAAATACACGTGCAGTAACAGCATGTCGGCTTCCCGTACGCACATACTGCTCTGTGCAAGGAAAGGAGATAACAATGGGAGAAACAGGAACGAAGCGGCCACGTGGACGAGTTATGTTCAGACACAATCACCGATACTCAAAATTTGGGGTCCAGTGCTCTTGGGCTCTAGAGTTCAAGGGGAATATTTCACCTGTAGGGTCTGGATCAGTCAAAATGCTGCAGGAAAATACTTCATTGTAAGGAATGGAAAACTTCTTCACCACGTGTCATGCCCAGAGGTTGCCATGCACCTGGATCCAAAAGCCTGCTCAAGGGTGTCCTCCAGGCAAAAAGAAAAAAGCCTGCTCAGGGGCTAACAGGACCTGCAGGGGATCTGGGGACTTGCAGGTCCACCAGGACTCCCTTCTTCAGAAGAACATTTGGGCACCCAGTGATGGACAACAGGGGTGACCAACCCGTGGCAAATTGGGGCAGGGTGTCTGTCTGTCAGTCACATGCAAGGAAGCAGAAAACAGAGCAGCACATCGGGCAGGGAAAGTCAGGCAGGAAGCAGAAAGCGGAGCAGCGGAGCAGGCAGAGGAAGGGGATTGGAGCGGTACTTGGGGAGGGTGCAGAGCTAAAGTATGGCATGCCTGCCAAAAAGGTTGGCTCCCAATGTTGTGCTGGCAGTGCTGGACAAGCCTGTCTGTGGGGAGGATCTGACGGGACGCAGGATGGGCAAGAAATCCAATTCTATTTTTTTTCTTCTTTCAGCCACAGACCCTCGAACCCAATCTCGCTGCAGTCAAAGGGGGTTTTGACCTTGCAGGAAAGAGAACAGGAGGCTGCATTCGCTACCCTCACTTCTCCCCCTTGAGGATGCCTGGGATTCAATTTGCAAAACATGTTCAGGAGCAGTTGTATTCAAAATCTGAAGCCCAACCCTTAGCAGTTACTGAGTCTCTACTAAAGCACGTCCATCTGAAGTCAAATGAGTCTTTTTGAAGAAAGCGAAACCGTAACAGTGTTCCTTGGACTGTCCTCTGTGAATGCGTAGTGGTATCAGGGAAGTGAATCAGGAAACAACAGAAATGGCAGCGCGGGGAGCAAGAGAAACTGAAAACTGCTAAGGCTTTCTGCTGGGCAGCAAATCCCCCAACCACGCCAGCTTGCTGTGGTGAGAGAGACAGTATTATATGTGAATCGCTTCAAGCCTCAGGCTGTTATGTAAAAGACAGAAGACTGTAATTCTCTCCGCACCTATTTGAGAAGCACAATCAAACTTACAGACTGAAAAAAATTCCACCCACATATGGAGAGAGCAACTAGGAACTTCACATTAATGAATAATAAGCTGCTAACATAAAGAATTGATGTGCACACAAATTAGGACATCTGGTTTCCAACATGTCAGCCAAGGAAAGCAATTCTGTTCTTGCAGGGAAACAAACTTTCTGAATACAATCTAATAGGGTTTTCCCCATCTAAAAATCCTGTAATTGTTCTTTTAACTAAAGCCATAATGACGACACACCTGTTTGTACTTTTGCACACTGCTGTGCCATGGGAAAAGAACATTTTAGGAAAACAGTCTACAGTTAAGAAAATGCAGGGCTGTTTGACAGTATCTTCTAAGAAGGTTTGTAAAAGTATAGACAGGCAGTTTGCTAAAAATTCATTTCTATGCACATTACCAGCTGAAAGGACTTGCAAAATGATACTACACCAAAGTAAATTATCCTTTCAGAATCTAAAACACCTTTCCTTCCTGCGAGCAATAGATATCTGCTACCACACATATTAAAATATTTTCTTGCATTGCCTTCAGGGAACAGATTTACATGATACAATAAGTTCACATTTCTTTCTCGCTCTTTTAAAAGCTTTTCATGAAGCCCATCAAGGACCCCAGTTAACAGTTTTGGAGGATATTTAGTTTTCAAAAACTGACACATTCACAGGTGCTAAAAAAAAATGTAACAAACTTCTAGCAAGAAAAAGTATAGCAAGAGCTAAAAATTACCCTGAATATTTTACACTGTGGGGGATACAATCTTCTGCCTCAAAAACAGTAATATACATGATGTCTCAATCTTGTAAAAGTGCCTTTACAGCATTCAATAAATTAAACTTGCTACCTGTCAATCAAAGGGCCAGGTTTCTACTGTTGCAGGGTTGTATGCATGCAAACAGTTGTAAATGCCTAGCTTCTGGCCTAGGCACACACATGCCGAATACAATTTGCACTCATACATCAGGTATCTGCAAGGCAAAGCCAGGTCTGCACAGATGCATGAGAAGGACCACGTGTCCTGGAACTTTAAAAATCTCTCCCTTTGCTTCCTCACCACGCTGCGGTTTGCTATCCTGGATGCAAATAATACCTTGAATATGCAGCAAATCTAGCCTGCAAGGTGTGTACACTCGGTACAGAATATAAATTAAAATGAACAAGTTTCTTTCATAACAAGGAATGATTACGGGAACCCATCTGTCCTCTTCTCAGCCCAACAAAATGTTCATTGAGTAGGATGTCCGGAGCAAATGAATGCCGCCTCCTGAGTGACGTTAGTAAAGGTGCAACGAAGAGAATACCTTCCTTAGGAGTAGAATTTGCTGTTACTGACTTTCTTCTCCTTTAATCTTCAAAACAGAAAAATAAAGTAATTAATTTTTTTGGATATTCTAGGTGGGGAAGAGACCCCTGCAAAGCTCAACTCGCTTAGCTGCAAACCGTAAACAGTGTATCAACAAGTCCATGCATTTCAATTTTTCTATAAAACTAAATATTGAGCATTATAATACTTCATATTTATGCAGCACTCTGTGTGGTCCAAGTTTTCTACACATACTAAGAAATAATATTCAAGTCAAAGTATAACAAACATGCTGCTCGAACTAG